TTTTAACTTATAAGTAGGTGACTTATTTGAAACCCAACAGGACCTTAGTCAATGCAAAAGTCAGCTCACCTGTGCGTGTGAGTACGGTCTGACATGTAGAGCACGTCAAAAGTCAAGCAAGCCGCAAAAGCTGTTGACCCCGGCCAAAAGCTCCAACTTGTTCCGAACCATTTCACACACCGTAGAGCATGAATATATAGTATAGAATTCCGTTAAATTACCTTTTAAATCCAGAGTAATATATATATACCCGCTATCTTGAAAACTTATCTTAGAAATAATAATTCTAAAATTATTTTTTAAGGGGATGTTTAAATCCAGAGGGTAAAGTTTAGAAGTGTCACGTTAAGTGTTCAGATAGTAATAATAAAATAAATTACAGAAGTTCTCGGTAATCCGCGAAATGAATTTATTAAGCCTAATTAATCCGTCATTAGCACATGTTATTGTAGCACCGCATTGTCAAATCATGGACTAATTAGGCTTAAAAAATTTATCTCGTAAATTAGTCACAGTCTGTGCATTTAATTTCGTAATTAGTCTATATTTAATACTCTATGCATATGTCAAACATCTAATGTGACAGGGACTAAAGTTTATGAGGGAGAAATAAACACAGCCTTGCGTCAACCCTGCTCAAATCAAAACCAGCGTCATACTTATACATCAAAATCTTCCGGGTTATATTAACTACTAAACGTAAGTGGAAGAAGTTTGGTGGCCAGATCATCGATTTGACGATTGTTATGGACCTATGGTTGTGGGCTTGTGGCCGGTGCTGCCCACTGTAGCTCTGGTGGAAGAGCGGAAGGCCAAGTCTCCCCGAGTCACTGTCAGTGTCAGCGTGAGGCTGTGAGCTGAGCTGAGCGTGAGCTCTCTGCTCTCCCCCAAAACCCCCCTGTCCCCTGTCTCCCGCGCGCCTGCTCTGCTCTGCTCTGCTCTGCTCTGCTCGGCCTCAGCTCATCCTGCAATGCGCGCCGGATGCTGATGGCCGCCACCAGCACCACCAGGTGCTCTACGACGACCTTGACCTGGCCACGTCCCTGACCGCTTCCCCGCCGGACAGATACGCCTCGCCGCTCCTCGCCAGCGTGCGGACAAGTCGCGGAAGCTGCCGACCACGTACATCAGCGCCGACGCCGCCAGCTTCCGGGTCATGGTGCACCAGGTCACGGGCACCGACGACGTGCTGCTGCCGGGCCCGCCGCGCCTATTTCGAGCCTGACTAATCAATTATAGAATATTATTTTTCTCTCGTAACAAATCAGCTTCAGCTAGTTTATCAGTCGTAGAAACCATCAGCCGAATGGCTCGGAATTCTTTGCGAGGGGAGAGCAAACAGCAAAACATGTTCCCATAAGGGTATCGTTCTTTCAAAAATAGTACAAATTAGCACAACATTTCACGTCGCAATTGTTCCAGGGGTCCATTCCCTGGAACTGAACAGGCTCTAAGCAAACCATATATGAGGGCGGTGAGGTGTGAGGCTGTTGTATCCCATGAGCCCCTGTCCAGTTGCGCCCTTCTCCATCTGGTTCGAGTGTTTGAGGGCGCATTTGAATATGTTGAAGATTTTGAGATTCTGTTAAAAAAAATCGGTACATCATCCAACACAGGAGAGACAGTAGATTACATTCTCAAATTCACATCTCTCAAAGTTTAAAAATCTCATCATCCCTTTCATGGTAGATAATATGGATTTTTAGAAACCCAAAAAGTGTGAAGCGCGTACGTTCGCAATTGGTTTCGGCATATAACTTCCCGGGTCAGTGCGTTGGCACCGCTCCAACCCTGCTCAGCCAAACATCCACCCCGCGTGAATTTAGTCCCCCTCTGTGCCCTTTAGTCCTAGGACTAAAGGTCACTAGTCCCGGTTAGAACCATCAACCAGGACTAAAGGTCCCATATGCACTCTATCTGTTGGACCCAGAACTAACGGTGACATTAGTCTTAGGGCCTAAGACTACTGGGACTAAAGCCAAAATTCAAAGATCCGTCCTGTACTAGTGTGTCACTCCTGACCCTGGAATGCTTTATTAGAATACACAAAGGATGCGTTGAATGTAACATGACGCCCGTCATGGCTAGTAGAAGGATCAGTGCATGTAGCTTACCATTTGTTCGCTTGAGCTTATAGGCCAGAATCAGCCATACTTTTTTAGCCATAGAATAGTGTTTTTCTTTCCCAACAAATCAGCCCTATAAATCAGTTACAGCAGCAATAAGTCCTGCCGAACAGAGCCCAGATCGTCCAATGCCTCGTTGAGATTAGGAAGTTTGAACGCAGTGCTGCATCCGACGGCCGTGACATTCTTCACCGATCCTATGGTGGCTTCCACCTATGCTGCCTTCTTCTTCACTGCTTGGTGCCTCCGCGTTGAAAAATTTGGAGGGGCTCTAGGGTTGCTCCATAGGATCAACGGTGGTAAGGGGGCTTGAGCCCCTCCCCCACACCGCTAGATCCGTTCTTGGCGGTCACAGTCACGCAGGGACAGCACTTTCACGTCTACAAAATTTCAAACCCTGAGCATCGACGACCCCCCCCCCCCCCGGCGGCATCCCCAGCTCCTGAGTTCAATTACACCAATATCACAAACATAACCAAACAATATCAACAATATCGTTCAGCAGCCGGCCGTGTCAAAGTGGAGCGTGAGAGACATAACTGTTGTTATCTCCGCCGTCGTTCTCGCCTTACGCCCTGTTCGCTTGGCTTATAAGCCGTACTTTTTCAGCCAACGGACAATATTTTTCTCTCACAACAAAATCAACTAACAGTACTTTTAGCCATGGCTTATTAGCCAAGCGAACAGAGCATTAGTACTTGCGGTGTGCCTGGCAGTCAAGTGCAGCAGATGACCAAGCTGGCCCAGACGAAGACAAGCTAGACACCGTGGTTACCGTCATCCTCGAGACTGCCAACACGTTGGTTGCCATATACGCTGGTGTTTGGTTGCTCCTCCTAAATTTTAGTCGTTGTCCCATCGAATGTTTGGACACATGCATGGAGTATTAAATATAGACTAATTACGAAACTAATTACATAGTTTGCGACTAATTTGCGAGACGGATCTTTTAAGCCTAATTAGTCCATGATTTGACAATGTGGTGCTACAGTAACATGCGCTAATGACAGATTAATTAGGCTTAAAAAATTCATCTCGTGGAGTACTGACGGATTATGTAATTTGTTTTTTTATTACTATTCGAACACCCCATGCAACATCCTCACGACACATCTTCTAAATTTTAGTCACGGATCCAAACACCCCATACATTGGGTCTGGCACGGACCGTGATATTATTGTTTCCTAGCGTATTGTATTACTATATGTATATTGTACATACATACATTATGGTAATAAATAAAGTGGAATTCCTTCAGAACCTTGCCTCCCTCTGTTTGTGTGTGTATTATTGAAGATGAGATCAGGTGCATGTAGGTTACCTGATCGTCCAACGCCTCGTTGAGATCAGGAAGCATGAATGCAGTGCTGCATCCGGCGGCCGCGACATTCTTCATTGATCCTCAGGCGGCTTCCACCCGTGCTGCCTTCTTCTTCACTGTTCCTCTGGTGCCTCCACGTTGAAATTTTTGGAGGAGCGGCTCCCATGGGATCAACGGCGGTAGGAGGCTTGAGCACCCGGTTGCGCAGGGACTGCACTTTCACGTCTACAAATTTTCAAACCCTGAGCATCGACGAACGACGGCGGCGAGCGATCGACCTGCAGCTCCCACAGTTGGATTCTATATAATGACCGACCGCCGGCTGACCGGGTGTGACCAACGATACCTGAGTCCGACGACCGAGAGATTAATTGCCCCACCAGCGCCAGTGCCAAGCTAGATGCGATGACAACGAGATGGACGCCAGGCTGCTCCGCATCTCGATCGGCAGGCCTCTCATGCCTTTAATTTCCCTGCATATATAGCGAGTGGCGGAGCCATGATTTACTTGCCGCGAGAAATTATGGCCCATTTTTCATTGCGATAATTTTATTATCTAGTTGTGTTTTGTATAATTATATTATCTAGAAGATATTAATAGGTATATATGACAAGAATTTTATATAATCTCCCTCTTAATATAAATAAAAAATATTAAATTATACTACTATTTTTTGTTGTTGTGAAACATGGGGGGGGGGGGCCATGCCCCTGCCAGGGGCCAAGCCCCCCCTTGGCTCCGCCAGTGTATATAGCACTGTTCGCAGAGTGCAATCTTTTCGTTGGTCACGCACCAGCAACAATAGGGCTCGCCAGAGGCCCAGAGTTTGCGTCGGCCGAGCGCCTCAGCTATCGACACGTACTTGCCGCTGGCCCAGTGTACACGATGAATATGTTACTGAAACTTTGTATTTTTTAGCATCTAACAAGCTCTGAGTTTTTTTTTTCATTTGAGCTTGTTAAAATGCTCAAAAAATAACAATAACACATTGAGACCTAGGGTACTTTAGACTTCCCTACCGCAGTTTGACACAGCTACAGCCAAATTTGACGAAAATGACATGAGAGAAAAAACGTTTAAATCAATGGCACATATAACCACTTAACTTTTTTTTAGTAACTTATATAAAATTATAAACTTTTATAACGGCACACCGACAAAAGACTCACCGCTCTCCGTGTGATGGCACGTGCACGCCTGTATGCAGGGTCATGCATGCGCGCGCGAGAATTGCAGGGTCATGCATGCGCGGTCATATCCTGTCACAGTACTAGCTGTTTTTTTTTATACAATTTGGTTTCAGTTGCACTGGTATTACTATTTGCATTTATCCATTTAACAGTCAGAAAGAAAATATCCAATAGTAGTTTTATTTTTTAAAAATGCTCTTGCGTGGCCGGATTATTATGGTTGTGGCCGAGGTACGTGTCAATGTCATGTCAGTGTCAGCTGGAGCATGAGCTCGCCCCCGTATAAACCGCAACCACCGGCCCTCCTCTTCCCCCTGCGCACCTGCTGCTCGGCCTCGGCTCATCCTCCAGTGCACCCCGGATGCCCATGGCCGCCGCCACGCGCATGGGCGGCGGATCCGCCCACTCCCCCTCCTCCGCCTCCATCTCGCTGCCGCCGTGGCACCCAGTCGTACTTGCACCCAATCAGCACCACCAGGCCCTCCACGACCTGGACCTCATCGTCGCGCCGTCCCCGTCCCCGTCGCCGACAACGCCGACGACCCCGCAGCGCCTCCGCCCCACGGCCCGGCGCGCGGGCAAGCAGCGCCGGCCGCGGCCGTCGCGGAAGCTGCCGACCACCTACATCAGCGCCGACGCCGCCAGCTTCCGCCGCATGGTGCACCAGGTGACGGGCGCCGACGACGTCGTGTATCACCAGGCCGCGCCGGAGCTCCTCTGCCGCCCGGCCCCGGCACCGCCCTCCCGCGCTGCCCTGACGACGACGACGACGGCGACTCTGCTGCCGACGCTGGACACGTCGGCGTTCCTGCTCGGCGCGGCACGCGGGGGCGGAGCGCCGCCCGCGCGGCCTGGTGGAGCCTGCTACCACGGCTCCGCGGTGCCGGCGGCGGGGGTTCCGGGTGCCGCTTTGCAAGTGGAGGTGGCGGAGCAGGCCTGTGGCGGCGTACGAGGAGGAGGAGAGGAGTACAGCTGCAGCAACGGTAGCGGCGGCGGCGGGTTCCCGAGCCTGGAGTCGTGGGATGGCGACGCTCTCTTCTAGGAGTAGGTGGCGTCTCCACCATGCACGCATCTTCTCTCTCTCTCTCTCCCTGTATGTTTGCTTGCTTGTATACGTACAGGTTATTTGAGCTTACCGCAACATCCATCCATGAGACCGATTGATCGACAAGCAACGTGACTGACTGACGGATTGATTGATTACAATAATCAGTCTGGTTTGCTACTAGCTTGATCGATCCAGCTTGTTGGCTTGTTGTTAGGAACTTTAGCTCCGAGATCCAGACACTTTAGCCCCCAGATCCAGAGACGGCTATAATCGATGTGATAGAGCTAAACTTTTGCAAAAAAAAATAAATAAAAAATAAACCCAGCCGTAATCGATGTGGCTAGATGGAGTAAGGATCATGTGCAGATGAATCAATCAAAAGACGAGGAAACAAAACGAAGGTGCACGAGGTGGGTGGCTTCATTTGCATTGGTCGGTTTGGTTGCTTGCCATTCTCACCCTCTTCCTTGCTTGGTTCCATTCTCGTGGTGAGTGGTGACTCGTGGACTCTGACTCCGACTCTGAGGTGTTCAATTCGCATTCAGCTTAATTGATTGATTGATGACAGGCTATATTTGTATTTGAAAAAAAAGGACAAAAAAACAAAGCACTGTTGCTTTGTTGGTAAGTACTGTAGAATTTAAAGGTGAGTTATTAGTTTTAGTGTACTGTAAATTATAGTTCGTTTGATTTTTTTTTGACCTTAAATTTAACCACTTGTCTTATTTAAAAAATTTATGTAAACATAGTTAAATTTAAGTTATTCTTAAAAAAATTTTATTAATAAAGCAAGCCACAACAAATTTTTTATTATATTTGTACAAATTATAAAATAAGACGAGAAAAGTCAAACGAACCGTAATTTGAAACGGATTTATTAGCAGATAGTGATAGCTGCGTAGACCCGACGATACGTTGAGATGAAGCCGGACTGAAACTACAGTACTAATAATAAATGATACTACTATGATACTCCTAATTATTGGACAGGGACGGAGCACACAAGACAATCCATGCCGTCAGTCGGTGGGTCGGCAGGTTTAGAAGCCTCGGGCGTTAGTTTAGATCTAAAGTTTTGGGTATCAATTCGATATTATATGGGGTCGTATGGGATGTTCGGATACTAATAAAAAAATAAATTATAGAATTCGCTAGTGAACCGCGAGACGAATTTATTAAGCATAATTAATCTGTTATTAGCACATGTGTTACTATAACACTTTATTGTTAAATCATAGACTAATTAGACTTAAAAGATTCGTCTCGCAAAGTAGTCGTAATATGTGTAATTAGTTATTTTTTAAATCTATATTTAATAATCCATACATATGTCAAATATTCGATGGAACGTGGTGTAAAATTTTGACGGAGGATCTACACAAGACCTCGGTCACGCCACGACACTGACAGAGGCTGCGATATAGCAGTACTGATCCATCCAAAACATGCGATTCTCGTTTTCCCATAAATTAGATATATTATACTTGGATTTAAGTTTAAAAAATCTATAAAAATAAGGATAAAAGGTATCAAATATGGATTGTCATTATTATCATATTAATTGTGAAAATTGTCATGGGCAGCCCACTCGGTCTATTGGGTTGTTTTGGCAGTGCAACTAATTAGCGTTTAGGATTAAAGGTATGTTCAGCTAGAGCTAGTTATTAGATAGATTATTCACTCTGTCCCTGAATAAATAGATTTCTAAAGTTGTCTTAAGTCAAACTTTTTAAACTTTGACTAAATTTCTAGAAAAAAACGTTAAGATTTATGGTATTAAATTAGTACTATTAGATTTACCATAGAATATATTTTCATAAGGTGCTCATTTTATATCATAGGTGCTGTTATTCTTTTCTATAGAGTTAGTCAAACTGCATGGATTTTAAGAATTGATTTATTCAGGGACAGAGAGAGTACTAAATTAGCTTGAGTTAGTTAATGAGCTAGTTGATATGAGCAGTTAGCTAGATGGTTCCGAAACGGACCTGGCCTTAACTACTTCAGCTATGAGTAGTATAAGTAGCTTGGTTGCATGCTTTGACAACTTAGCATATAATCCGCTGACTAACAATTAGTCATATGCATCAAACATGCACTAATTAGATATAATGGTCTTTTGCTTAGGAGGTCAAGTAAACATCTGTATATAAGAAGACGAGATATAATCTAAGAAGAAGAAATATATCTATTATCTCAAATCCCCTTTTCATATCCCTGCCCTTGTGATCCAGCTGATGTTTTGATCAAGACCCATAGAATGTAATATTTTTATAAATTTAATCACAATTAAGTAAGTTTGACTTAATCTAAATATAGAATTGTATATGTATATTACTTACAGAGCTACTTCCACTAAAAGTTTGTATGCCATTCACATTATCTTCTACTAACCATCCATATCATTTTTCTCACTAGTAGCTATGTCATTCCACTTACTTTCAGCTTCTTAATGTAAGTTGTTCACGGCATCTCCATTAAATACTATTACTATTTTTCAATGCCCCTCCGTCCAAGAAAGAACGCAATTCTTCCACAGCGTCACATTTTAATATCTTAAGTTTGATCAATTATAAATAAATAAATATTAATATTTTTTACGATTAAGAAATATTAATATTTATGATATCGAATAAATACCGTTAGATTAATTACGAAATGTATTTTTATAATAAATTAATTTGGGATCATAAATGTAAATATCGTTTACTAGAAACTTAGCCAAACATGAACTACTCCGACTGGTTTTGGGACAGAACGAGCATATAAGAACGGTTTTACATCTAAAAAAGTAGCGGTATACTACGAGTACGGAGTACATAGTAGTATACTACTGACTGACTGCACTGCAGCACGTCACGAGTTGACAAGAAAAATGGTGGCTGCGGAGCAGAGCAGTCAAAAACAGCGGCCCCCTGCAATGCAACGCAAGGCGTGTGCCGGGGTGCATGCAAGTCCAAGTCGTCGCAGAGTGACAGAGGGAGCACGGCGACTCCAAAGTCGTCGCAGCCACAAGAGTGAAGCATTGGTGTCTCGGTCGGAGTTCGTACCGACAGCCGGACACTCCCCACCGATGCTTTTCCATCTTCAACAATGGCGGCACGCAGCCAGACAGATCGAGCAGGGAGAACACGCCATTGGTGTGGAGTACTCCCTAGGTCCCTTTTCGTTCTAGAGAAACAACTTTTATTAAATAACATTTATAATACATAATTAGTATGGTTAGAAAAATCTTTAGATCTAGTTTTTAATAAATTTATTTCAGAGATATAAATATTATATGTATTTTCTGTAAATTAAGTTAAACTTATGGCACGGACGATAGTTATTTAAGGGACGAAAGTGGTCGTACCATGACTGTCGCTCCGACCCGCCCGGTCCGCCGACTCCCTCGGCTGCCTACTCAGCTGCTCGTCAGATTAGAATTTCCTGCCGGGACCCGTGCGTACGCGGTACGTCCAGCTCGCTCTACAGTCGACGGAGACGACGATAGAGGAAGACGACGAGGGTGAGGACGACGCCGCCGCCGCCTCTTTTGTCCGGCGTGGACATCTGGACGCCCTCGTGCTGTCATGCACCGCGCTCACGTGCTTCCTCGGGGCCAACCTGCCGGCCGCCCGGCCGCCCAATTACTGCCCTGCCGCCAGACGCCATCATCGCGCCATGCTCCGGTCATCCTCGTCCTCATCCATTCAATCATCTTTAGTTCTGTAACACAATAATAGGCTACGCGTGATAGCTTCATCATCCGGCACATCCATCAGTTATATTAGACACTTATATAAGCTTGTTCGTTCCAAATTCAAAAAAAAAAGGTAGACCTTATTATGTGTAGGTGCAATTCGGCCTGGGGCTGACGAACGAGTCCCTTTGCTTCAACTCTAAAAGCAAAATTGCTTTTTAAGTTACAATTTATAAGGCTCAAGAAAAGCCTTTGAGATGGTTTCTAGTATATTGTAAAAATGGTCCATTACTCTTAACTTTGTATTTCATGAAATGCAAACACTTGAGCTACTAACCTCTGAGGCTAGATATTTCTAATAGTCATTTGCAAATAATACATTTAGGCTGTGGCAATTTTGACTCCTCTGTTGGGACATGCCATATTCATATGGCCAAGTCCTCTAAAAGGGGTCAAATTAGCGTCATTGTAGTGGCATGTGAAACCCACCCCCACCGGGGGGTCGTTTGTAAATTTTCGCTTGCCTATATAATGCCGGGAACATGAGGGCAAGGGGGCCTCTCCCTTCCGACTCTCATCGACAAACCCTAGCCGCCTTTTTCCACTCTCCTCCCCTAAACCTGTTCGGGAACCGCTTTTCCAACATTGGCACCCACCGTGCTCGGCATGAAAATTTTCAGGAGAGCTGAAAGTTGAAGCCTTCGTCGGGCCTTATCTGGCCTTCGTCAACAGACCTTCTCCGGCTCGCGACCTTCTCCGGCCAAGCCTTCGTCGGGCCTTCTCCGGCCTTCGTCAACAGACCTTCTCCGGCAAAGCCTTCGTCAGAACATCTCCGGCTTTCGTCGTGACCTTCTCCGGCCAAGCCTTCGTCAGGCCTTCTCCGGCCTTCATCAACATACCTTCTTTGGCCAAGCCTTCGACAGGCCTTCTCCGGCCTTCGTCAACAGACCTTCTCCGGGCAAGCCTTTGTAAGACCATCTCCGGCCTTCGTTAACAGACCTTCTCCGGCCAAGCCATCATTAGGCCTTCTCCGGCCTTCGTCAACGGATCTTCTCCGGCCGGGTCTTCGTCGGCGGACCTTCTCCGGCAAGCCTTCGTCGGGTGACCTTCTCCGGGCGGGCCTTTGTCGGCGGACCTTCTCCGGCCAGCCTTCGTCAGGAGACCTTCTTCGGCCAGGCCTTCGTCACCAGGCCTTCGTCGCCAGCCTTCTCCAGTCAGGCCTTCGTCAACAACCCTTCTCCGGCTAGGCCTTCGTCGCCTACCTTCTCCGGCTAGGCCTTCGTCGGTGCCTTCTCCGGACGGGCTTTTTGAG